TAGAGTAAACTGCTTGAAAACCATACCCTTCACAGCGGCACATACCTATATAGCCCATATGTGTTAGTGCCCACCCCCCCACCCCCACCCCCCCGGGGCGGAGAGAGACTTTGTTGCCGTGTTTTGGCCCAGATTTCTCGTGCTAAAAGCAAAACAGGACCAGAGTAGCTGTTGTTTTCCATTTAATTTGTTGTGTGAATGATTTTTTGACCGATTTCATGAGAAGATTGAGGTCGTCGGACAGATTACATGGGAATGAAAACTCCATGTTTAGGTGCCCACTCAGGCTCCTTGAACAAAACTTTAGTCACCCGCACTTGTAACTTAGGCGCCTCAGGCGATCGGGCGCCAGTGATGTTTGTTTTCATCAAACAATGGCAACTATGAAGAGGGTTAATGTATGTCTCCAATGTACTTAACAGGTCAAGAGACTACTTCCTCAACACTTTCATTTATGTTAGCAGAGGCTGGAAAACATCCTGAGGTTGAGAACAGGTGATTTACCAATTATCAGACGAGTCCTTAATGATATTACTTTCATTTAGTGACAGGATCAAGAGGCTTAGGTTCAAGTGATTATCGGGATCGCCATGTTGTATTCTTGCACAAGACATACAGTAGCTCTCTCAGGTGTGGAGACATTACTGGTTTCCACAGTCTGTTTTACAGAAATCGATCAGATTTTTTAGAATGACTAGGAAACGTACGATCAAGAGGTCTACATGTAGGTTCAACTGCTCACTGGGATCGCTGTGTTGTGTTCTTGCGCACACAACAACACACATCTCTCACAGTATCTCTCTCAGGTGCAAATCCATACTGGTCTTCACTGTTTAACAGAAATCGGTCAGATTTTTCAGAATGACTCAGAAATCTTGGAAAGAGGACTTAAGGGAGTTAAAATCCAAAACAGGGACTATGAATATAGATTTTGACAGCTTCTTTTTTTCAATTCTCCTGTTTAGGTTAGTCCAAGAGGCTGAAGATATCCTTGGTTCTCACCAGTATGTGTCATATGAGGACCTCAGCAATCTAAACTACATGGGTCTTGCGATGAAAGAAACACTTCGATTACATCCCAGTGTTCCGGCATTCACTCGAGTTATGGAAAAGGACGGTGAGTTGGGAGGGCACCGCATCCCTGCTGGTACACTGATAAATGTTGGTGTATATGCCTTACATCACAGCCCCAAATACTGGAAGAATCCTGAGAACTTTGATCCTGAACGATTTTTGTCTCAGAAAGATGACAATGACACTGGCTGTGCAACACACCATGCTTATATTCCATTCTCTCTTGGTCCTCGTCATTGTATTGGTCAGATGTTTGCCGAGTTTGAAGTGAAGGTTCTCATGTCACGCTTTTTGAAGTCATTCAAATTTCAGCTGGTGCATGGCCAGGATTATGGATATGAAGATCCCAAGGCCACTCTAGCACCAAAAGACAGAATCCGCTGTACCCTGACTTTGCGATGATCATTTACAGGTGTATGTGAGAATGTAGACAGATAAATAAATATTTACTTCCCTGTATAATTTATGCCTATAGGATATGTCAAGATTTAGGAATGGACCACTATTTTTTGATGGGGGTTTTGGCAGTTACCAAAAAATAACCTGCACAAGATAAAGATAAGGAAAGAATAGTGCAGAGCAAACCATGCACAAGACAAATGGAGCAAATGTAACAAAAAAAATGTTTGCATGATCTGAAACTGAGAAAGAAAATTCTTGCTCAGAAAAATTGTCCAAACCTTCCCCCCTAAAAATCTAATGTCCATCATTTAGGGGCTACCTTCAAGCTAGCAATAGAGATTTTATTTAACGGAAACATTTTGAAGATTGTAACTGCATCTTTGTATAGAAAATATGAGCAAAGTTCTCCGTTAGCTAGGTTTATTTTAATGTTCAAGGTATCTGTATCTGTATTATAGGCGTGACAAAAATATGTGATTCTAGGATGAAGTCAAGTATTTAAAAAAGCAAGTCAGCAATTATTATAGACCAAGGTAGGTCTTTTTGAGGCCAAGTGAACCATCTTTAAAAAGATGCTACGTCACAGTTTGCACATCTTGAAAAGTTTAGTCCAAAGTTTTCAAATGTCCCTTTTGTAATCTGTGTCAATCTTCTCCATCCTAAACCATCGTTGTTCCTAGTGTTTTTCTATCTTAAGCAAACTACTATTTTTCGGGTTTCCTGCAATTTTAAGGTAATTTTGTACAGGCAAAAATAACTCAAAATACCATGAATGAGCTCCTTCCTCAGTCAAATCATCTAATAACCACTTTAACCATCCTTTAAGACATTCCTTACTTTCTGTCAACTTCGTAGTAATCTTATTTGTCACACGGCCCAGGGGCACGTTTCTCAAAAGCCCCAGAAACTTTTCGGGCCTGTAAAGACATAGCAAAATCTCGAACCTTACGATTACAGTGCTGTTTTATTCACATATTCTTAATATGAAGAGTTGGAGAAGTTCCCTTCATACCAGAAGTTTCAGGCGTATACACTTCTCTGTTTTTAGATACAGATGGACTAAAAATGGCTTTACGCGCCTGAAAAGTTTTCGGGGCTTTTGAGAAACGGGCCCCAGCAGTTCAATGTTTCTAATGTTCAAATTCCTGCAATGTTTTATGACAAATCATAAAATACTGCATAGTACATGGCTTGGCCTTACAGGTCAGTTTGTTAAATAAGTAACCAATGGAATTACTTACGGTATACTTTATCTATGGACTATATAATTTTATGGTGATTACTATTTAACAATTAGATCGCGAGCTCAAGATTTCTATGAGGTGATAGCTGATAAGTATGCTGGTCAAAATCAAGTATCGAGAGTGAATAGTCTATGTTTTAAGCAGAACTCTATTAAACTGCTTTTCTCCAAAAATGATTCCAGTATTTCTTGACCTGCATCACTTACCCACTCATTCAATCCCAGAATGTCCAGTGGCACATAGGGCCTCTTGACATGCATACATGTAAGAAAATGTACTTTTCAACTTCTCACTTTAGCAAAATTGAACCCAGACTGAACTGTCATTGGTCGGACCTTCCCCTTTGAAAGTTGCAGCTGTGCATTCTTGTACACATCATCAGTTTATTTGACAATTTTGACGTTTTCAAGTCCACAAAATAATGTCCTTTTTTAGTGTCCATGGGCACTGGATTATTCAGTGAAGTCACTTATAGAGTTTAAAATCATGGATAAAAATAAACATTGTATCCAAACTTACTAATGGCTGCAGCATAAGTGCAATGCAATCCTGTCTTTACCCTATTTCTATATTCAGTAGTAATGATTAGAGAAAGGTAAGGGTAAACATTCATTTACAGTTGATTGATCAACTATTATAATTATGGTGCTTACTTTATTATAATTATTAAATTATCTAATGCAGTCATACTGTACTAAAGGGAGCTCTTCCATCTTTTCACATTGCCTGACTCAATAGAACCTGAGAGAAAGCAATTTTAAAATGATATTAGAAGCATGACAAAACTCCCATTTCCCTTGCAAGAACCCTTTTGACAATAAGTAGTCTGGTTCTAACAAGGAACCTACACTTTTTGTTGATTCTTCACACTTGTGTATTGCAATTTTTAGACAGTACTATTCCCAGAAGAATATTTAGGGAGGAAGCCATCAAAACTGGAATTCAAATTGGAATTTGGAGATGTTGGTTATTGTGGAGGGACTGAAAACCAGAGTAACCTTAGAAAGACCCTCCAGGAGCAGGGTGAAAACCAACAACAAACTCTACCAGGCACTCAACTCACATGTGGCACAGGGCCAGCATCAATCCTAGGTGCTCTCACTACTGTGCCATCCCTGCTCCTTGTTACATCAATTAGTTAGAAATATATATTTATTTAACTGCATTGCAAAATGGAGTTTGGTTGCCTGAGACAACATGGAGCTTCCACTATAATTTTGGCAGCCAGCTCCAAGATGAAGACCATTCGAATGACTGGCCAATCCTGGCAACTCAGCCATGGGCCCCCATATGGAAGAGAGAGATGATTTATACGCCAAAGAATCAATTAAAGTAAACTTACTGACTCGTCCTTCTTTCTCTAGTTTGGTGAGATGGTGATTCACATTATTCTCTGCTGCTCTATGAAGGTGCCATGGAGTATCCTAAAAATGAATGGTAAAATTATTAATAGATTTAGTTCTGTAACCATTACCGTTATTAATAATTTATTACTACTATTAGTAATAAAGTAATAAAGTACAATATTTTCTGGAACTGCACATCATGGATCAAAATAAAGGACCAACTGCAACAATTTTAATTAGTGGTTACTTGGGGAGAACAGAAATATTAAATGGGGAGGTGGGAATTATCTTTTTTACCCTGGAGGGAAGATAAGAAATTGAAAATCACTTGGACAGTATGTACTGCATTTTGTGATGAAGGAGGAGTGGTTTCTAAAGCAGGGGTCATGCCCCAAGAGCTGATACATATAGATGAGGGTAAAAGGTTACCTTTCAATGAGAGTAACCCACAATAAATTGCTGCTGCAGTTATTTTTTAGTATTACAATCACCAATGATGTGATCCTTAATATTAGTAAAGGTTTCAAAACACAAAGTTGTGCAACAAATTGATAAAAAAAAAACTTACAACATATCAAAACAAACTGGTGAGCCAAATGCGAGCCCGACAGTGGAAAATCAAGTACTTCACCAATATACTCATACTCTGTATACGTATACATCTGACCGTATTGAATCACAAAAACATGCCCGTAGACAGCTCAAAGACAGTCCCAGCAGCCCCAAGTACTCTGACCACCCCCCCTGTCTAGGAGATATAGATATACCCATCACACACGTATGTGGCATGGGCCTATCCAGCAGGGTGCCATGTCAACACACAACCCTCAAACAAGGTTCAACAACTGAGTAAAGTGCCCAGCAAGTCTAGCTAGGTGAAGGTGTCAATAAAAGACACCCTCCCTGCCCCTTCCCCCTGCTTTTGACAGCTGGCTGCTAGCAAACCACCAGCAGATAGGCCAGTGCCTGGACCATGTCCCCAGCCCGGCCTTGGCAGAACCCCCTCCCTCCTCCCTAGGTTTAGAGTGGCTGGCTAGGCCTGGGCTCAGGCAAAGCCCAAACCCAGGCAAAAACCTAGCGGGTACATAATAAATGTACATATGTTTTTGAGAAATTGTTCAGATATACTTTAGATGAACATTTAAAAAAACAAAATAAAACAAAAACAAATTAATATTCTTAATATCTTACAACATAGACTTTCTTGACAATTTCCATGGCAGTTGTTACATTTTCAGGCTCATTTCCTAAAGCTTCAAGTATCTAGAATAGAGAGTGCATCATATACATGTAAGTACTTTTAAAGCATGATTGTTTGTCTGCCCAGTAAATAGTTTACCGGGCAGACATTTGCTATAATGTAGGAGTTATAGAAACAAGAGTGAAAGTTTGGGAAAACGAGAAATGTTGTGGGAACATGAGCTGATGGGTGAGCTGACAGGTGAGTGTTTTCATAGCTTTTTGAAGTTCTCCTAAACTTTCATGAGTGTTTCAGTCTATAACTGGATAAAAACACAGAGAACATGTCTCTTCTATTTCTTTTAGAAAATACCGCAAAAAGAAAAAGAAAAAAACTTGAATGTTTACTTTGATCATCAAAATGTCAGTCATACTCTTTGCTTGTGCCATCATTACATTAACAGTTCAATTGCTAGTTCTTAGTTTCTATTGCATTATACATGTATGTAGAAAAACAATTTTAACCAATCAGCGCACATATTTTCTTTGGGCTATTTTTTGATTAACAATATCACCAAAAACATGTTTACCATAAAATTATGATCAAGAGAATAGGAAGATAACACACCTGTTTTTCCCTCAAGTTTCTATGCTCAATGTATTCCTTGATTTTTGTGACAGCTTCTTCTACGACTGGACCATGCCCAGGATAGATAAGATGTGGGGACAAATTTAAAATCACTTCTAATGATTTCATGTATGTGAAGAGATCCTCAAACACCTGTAGAATGGTACCTCAAGTTATTATTAAGTGCTCAATGTTCATGTTTGTGGTAGTCTTATAGTGATGCACAGCACCAAAATCTTGTGTGATAGCTTCAGACTGGTTGGCCAAATAGATTTTATCATTTTGTCACCTACCAACTGAAAAAAGATAATTATATGGAAAATATATATATATAATTTAAAAACTACATTTTTGGAGTTTTTAATTGGATGTTGAAGTAAGATGGAAAACATGGAACCCCCATCTAGACCCACCTTCTGGACCTCTTCTGGACGCCTTTCTAGACCTCCTTTAATGTAGTCTTAATCGTTGTTAACTTCAATTTTAATTACATGTATTTTAATCACAACCTCATATTTTCTCAAAGAAAACTAGGGGATCCAGATGGGGATCCAGAATGGGGTCCAGAAAAGGGTCTAGAAGAGGGTCCAGAAAGGGGTGCAGTAAGGGGTGCAGAAAGGGGTATAGAAAGGGGTCCAGGAGGGGTTCCAAAACAAGGTCCAAACAAGGGCCCAAAGTGGGGTCCAAAGAGGGGTCCAGAAAGGGTCTGAAAAATAAGGGCTAGGTTTTCTTTGGATAATAATGAAACAAATATTTCTCACTCTATATCTGCTCCAATATAGTCTCCTTCGCAGCCGTTATTAGGCTCGTCACGCAACGCTCCTCCCCACTAGTGGGGAGGAGCGTTGCGTGACGACCCTAATAACGGCTGCGAAGGAGACTAGCTCCAATAGTGATCATTCAAAAAAAAAGACTCGATCTGTCTTGCTCAGGTCTGGCAACACTCATCCATTTACAAAACAGCCATGTTTAAACTTGTGCCTGGCCCTCAGGAACCAAGTCAGGGTACAACTGTAAGAGTAAACATGGTAAATAGTGAGTACTTACAGCTGTTCCCTGACCTAAGATGCAATCTCCAGAAAAGATGGCATTTTCCTCCACCAGATAGACTATCATGTGGTCTGTTGTGTGACCAGGGGTGTGGAAAACCTTAAGTGTTTCTCCCTCTGTCACTATTTCATCTCCATCCTTGAGATAACTATATTTATTCCCAATGCTTCCACTGATCTCTTCTGCTACACCATCCTGTGGAAGCTTTGAAATTCTCAGATGACCTGTACGATGATTTGACCAATAAATGTACATGTAATGAACATCACTATTCAATCTAAAGCACTGCAAATTGGTTCATTCAACTGAGCCCCTAGATCCGCCCCAGTATAGACCTGTAAGTTTTTAATTTTTCAACATAGAAATTCAGTGTGACAGTGCCTTGTGTTTACCACTGGCAGGGTTGTTATGATTACCCTCTCTGCTAGACTGAGATTCCAACTGATCATTCAGGCACCATTCCCACACTCATCTATTGGTGATGAGTTTAACTATACATGTAACTTAAAATACTGCTTAATACCTGGATTTTCCGTGCACTTGAGAACATCAAGGATTCCTCCTACATGATCTGCGTGCCAATGTGTGATAAGAATCTCTTGTATACTGGACTCGTTGTTAGATAACACTTCTTTGAGATGTTCTACGTATTCACTTGAACCTCCACTCCCTGTGTCAATTAATATGCGGCTGCAGAATAATGTCAGACCACTGGTGTAAACTTTCAGTGGTTAAATCCTAACATACTCAGTCTGTAAAGATTTCTGGCACAGCATGCACTTAACATCACTGAAATTGAAACTTTGTATACATGTAGGTAATCATAAGGTTCCGAGTTCAATTTGGAATTAATTTACACGAGTGAGTTTTTCAAAAAGCTGAAATTGAGCGAGCTGCTTCAGCAAGTGCAATTTCAGCTTTTTGAAAAACTCACAAGTGCAAATTAATTCCAGATTAAACAATAAAAACCATATGATTGCTTATTAATGACATAAACATGAAAAAATTTGCTTGGAGGAAGTGCCAGAAGCTCTTTCTTGAAGCCATTTTTCCTCATTCAAGAAAACTTTTTTCCAAAGTTTCTGAGAAAAAGTTTCATCATCATTTCACGTGATATCATTGGCTTAGAAAATTTCCTATTCTCTTTCAGCCAATCATAACCCAGAATTACTATGTGTAATTTGCACTGGTGTTACACTCTTTGCACTGGTGTTACACTTGAACTGCACTGCTCTCAGCCAATCAGAATTGAGTAATTTTTTTGTGTATATTATTAAAGAGGTAATAATAACATGTACGTTACTTTCTGGTTTATACAATAATAGTCTCTGGTTGTGACTGCATTCCTGTGTACGAAATTAAATTTTGCAGACCACAGACTGCTGACTTTTTACATAATATCATACTCCATTCCATTATCAAAACCACAGGCTTAAACCTGGGCACGATTTAGGCTAGTCTGAGTGATATTCAAGCTAACTGGAGTGCTATTAAGTTCTTACTGTAGTCTGCAGTTTGCAATCTGCAAATGTCATATTCTGCATAAGCAGACAGTCCCTCCTTATCTCTATATATTTCTTGAAATTTTATAACGAAAGATCTTTATTTGCTGATAAGGTTGAGCTAAATTAAGTCGTGCTTATGGCTACATTGAGCAAAAAATAAATAAATAATTAAATAAATAAATAAATAATCTTACTTCGTCTCGAATTTAAGGTAGCAAGATTGCTGATGTCTTAAATTAGAGAAAGAAAAATAAGTGACTGTAATTGAATACCTTCTGCCAGTCCCTACAAGGTACGTGTTGGTTCCTTGAAGCGTCATAGGACTAGGATTGCATCCTAGAATTCGTAAAACACGTGGAGATAGTTGTTCAACCGTTGGCAAACGTGCAAGATTTCCAGCAAAACCAGAGTACGATGAAACCAAGGCCGCCATTTTGTTTCCCATCTTGATCTCATTGGGAAGTCCGCTGGCCGCTCGCGGTTTCAGCTCGCTTGTTGCCATGCACCAAGTTGCTGAGGCGTTCATAGAAACGATTCATTAGACGGTCAACACAAACATGGAAAGCACTGAACAAGAGAAAGACAAACAAAATCCGGCTACAGCCGAAGACCAAGACAATATGGCAGCAACAAGTGAGTTTGGATTTTTTTCTGCTTTCAATTTTAGTTTAACGAAGTTTGAAATGGAGTTTTTCGTTCTTTTAGCGGACACGCGAAGAATAGACACTTTGGCTCGGCCTAAACCAGTTCCAGTTGGATTTATTGAAGACAGGTAAGAAGTTAAGCCAATCTACCTTGTTATCAACGCTGCGATTTTGTCATTTACTGCTGGATTATCAGAAATTGGGTATATGTAATGTCACTCTTGCCTTCTCGACTACAAAATCGGTAACATTCCTTCGTGTGTCCCTCGCTAATAAGTTCTGCTCATGAAACAATTGTACGTTTAGGGGTCAATTTGGTTAAATTGTCACTTGTAATCGATCACTGTTACACGTTGATGCTTCACTAAATGAAGAACACTAGATTCGAATAAAATTATGCTTTGATTTTATTTAAGCCAGGCACATTTAATGAATTTCGTTTCAAGCTCGTAACATTTGCGACATACGTGCAATGTTTCCCATTATTTTGAGAAGACCGCATGCAGATTGAAATTCAATAACTTTTTGTTTCTTTTTATTTTTAGGCGATCGGTTTACTGGGATAACAACTTAGCGAAGAACTGGGATAAAATAGAACCGACCAAGAATGGTAACGTATATATTTATTTTTGTAGTTAACAAAAGTTATACAACCGAATGAAAGCCGATATCGCCAAATTATCGCAGCTCATGATCTGACATGTTAATTTTAATGGGGTTCATTCATGCAATCTTTAATTTATCGTTTGAAGAAACCACGAACACCTATTATCATGATCAGGAACTGTTATTGAAATCAAGCATCGGTGGATAATATTCAGAGAGAAACATTTTCTGTAAGATTGAAACATTCACGTAAGATGAAGTTAGAGTATCATGATTTATAAAGTTTCACAGTTATTAATAATTAAGTAGTTGTGACAACTCATATTCCAAAACTGACATCGACAAAGTGGCTGACAAGTAAGTGACAGGTAAATAATTTATCATGAAACAGAAGGCTAGAAACTATCCAAAATGCCGTATCTATAAATTGGGTTCATACAATTTCTATAAATATTTTCTGTAAAATAATGTGGTGCTTAGACAGATCAGTTCTAAAATACCCTTTATTTTTTGCACCAAATTCAACAGTGTTAAGTGAAAGACAAGCACAACTTGTGTACAGCAAGCAACTTCACAAGGACTATGTTGGGGACAGGTGAGGATGTTCAAACCATTTGAAATCATCTTTGTAACCTGAGAATGTGGAGAACTATTCTACTCACTAAGAATGGTCGATACATTATTGCTTTACAAGTTACATAAATAGTTACCTTGGCCCTGATCTCCTAGAGGAGAAAAAGGAATTCTAAAAGTAAGTCAAGACACAGTTTTATCAGTTGGCACGGCCTATTGTCTCAATTTGCCAAAACTCAAATAACTGAGATATTGTAGCAATTATTGTATGTTTCAGTTTGTTGTTTTTGTTAATCTCATTGTGAGGGTAAAAAGGGGCAGGGGTGATTCCCAAGTGAAAAGTTTGGGGATCTTCATTGGCTCACTTAGGAGTGTAAATCAGAGATGTTGGTCTCAATTAGAGTGTGTCATGACCAGATGAAACACCACTATATCTATAGCCATCAAGGTATATTTTAAGATTGCACTCAAGATCAGAGAGAGAAAAAAAAAAATAATGGTTTTGTCCATTCTTAAGACAGGTATCTTTTAGGGGTCAAATAAGGCTCAAGCCATTCAAGGGGTTTAATTCAAATTTTCTAATGAGCATCCCTGCCCTTTTCAACCCTTTTTCCCCTTCCCTTGGGTGTACCTTCCCCAAGACTACAGCCCAGCTGGGATCTAACCAAGACTTGCACAAATGAGTGTATACTGTATTAACAGTGCTTGTAACAGTTGGCCATTGGACTTCCACCCCCTTAAAGGAGGGATGTAGGGTCTTTTGTTTTGGTTGTCGCAGTCAAATTTGTTACAGATCATATTTTTTGTGTGTGTGTTCAACAGACGAAGCGCTATATGGCCAGTCAGTGAGGCAGCAATGAAAGCTTCAGCATCAGGGCGAGTTGAAGCCCTGTCAGAACCGAAAGCACTTCATCGAGACTACCAACCATGTAGGCAAGTCCAAACAGCCGTCAGTGAGGCAGCAATGAAAACAGAACCCTCACAACGTATAGAGTTTCTTGCACAAGCCAAAACTTACGCTCCTTTAAAAATCAAGTCAAATAGTGATTGGGATTGGAGCGAATGGGAATCTGATTTAACAGAAGCTGCAAAGAATGGAACAGCATCAGAAAGAGTTCTTGTTCTTTCAAATCCCAAGCAGCCACATCGCAATTACAATGAAGGGCGTCCTGTGATCTGGGAAGTGTCACAGTCAGCCCAAAAGGCACTTCCGTCTCTCAGAGTTCAGCAGCTCGCAAGACCAAAGAGCCGAAGTCAATACAACGAGGATTACGATGCAAATGCGTGGAAAGTCTCACAAGGAGCGAAAGTGGCTCAAGCCACTCCTAGAATTGTAGAACTTGCACTACCAATTCCTCGAAAAGTTAGAAGTAAAAAGGTTGCTTGAGCTGGAGATCCTAAATTTACAACTAATTTTTGGATATATTAATTATTTTTACTTATTAATTAATGATCCGAGAGTCACATTTATTTCCAAATGTATCAACAGTTTTTTGTTAATACTTTTATTAAGCTATTTGTGAATATAAGTTATGAAAAGAAAAGTCTTCATTTCTGTGTGTCAAATTATCTCTCTGTAGTAATAATTAATTATCTAATATAATATCAAATACTCTTTTATAAATACAGTACAGGTAGTGGATTTAATTATACCTTTTCTCTTAACATGTCACACACTTTTAATAACAGCTGGTAAATTTTCACAATTTTTATTACATGTTTGTCCAAACAAATAAAAAAAGGCAAAGCATGATTAGATGACAGAAAAAGTATCACTTTTCATTATTTTGGTTGCTTAAAATTTTTAAATAAAATCATGAAGGAGAATGTGGCTAGCCTACATGCATTTCAACAATAAAAACTCTTGTTGAACTAGCTTCAAGGCATCTATATGTATAGTCTCCATTAATATTGTATCTTATTTAACAATTAACTTTTATCTTTTAATGTTTCTTTTAACATTACATGTACATGTAGTTCTAATGGTACAATTGCACAAGGAGAAATTAAGACATTAATGTACATTCAAATGCTCAACAACAGTTGATGATTTTCTTTATTCTGATCATCTGTCCTTATTGATTATTGTAAAGAGAAATCGCCAGTAGATGTTGATCACTCTTGGAAAGAAAATAATTGTTCCTTTTGCCCTGAGTTAAACACTGTACACAATAATTTGCCCTGTGATGACAAACATTGACGGCACAGGCTAACAGTCCACTTTAAAGTGACACTACTTCAAACAGCGTTTCTCAGTTGTGTACTTCATGTAAGTAGTCTCCCTCACAACCTCTTGGGCCAAAGTCACGCCGTGCTCCTTTCTCATGCTTGAAGCAGCCACGTGGGGATGGAGGCATTGCTCAAATTTGGTCTGAACTTCTTTATAAGAAACACCAGCTGGGAAAAATTGTCTTCACAGCTGGTCAATTAGCCTGGTGCCTGGCCCTTAATGAAACCCCTAATATACAGTGTAATTATGTGCTGCTGTATCCACCAATATGAAGACCATGAGAGTCTTCAATTTAGTCAGTCTCAGTGGCAGATCCAGACCTTGAGCTAAGAGGGGGGGGGGGGGGGGGGGGGGGNGGGAGAAAGGGGGTTGTTTTGCTTCCCTTGTCAGCTTTTCTTCCTTCTGTGACTTCCTCTTTTTTTTTACCCAAAATAAGGGTAGGTCCGCCACTGAATCTGTAACTTACAATAGTCGCCATCCCAACATTGTTTTCAAAATTATTTACTAGCTACTTGTGTTTGGATTTGACAGTTCGCTTAACAGTGTGTACTAGGGCATCTTGAAGTACTGGGTAGGTTCTTGCACAACCTTCCATACAACATTTGAGAGCCTACAAAGAGATATGAAAACAATAATTGGGGTGTAACAACTTGTAAAGACGTTGTCTGGCGCATGTTTATTTCTCACTTAGAAGGTACTGTTCAAGCCTTGACTGACTGCTCATAAGTTACATGTACTAACCTTAACTGACTGCTCGTGGGTCAGTTCACCATCTTGTAACAGACCAGACACAACATTCATTGTGGGAAGAAAAGCGACAGTAACTTTACCATCAGCTTCTGATGACAATCCCTGGCAAAATGAGGTTGACAGAGTTTTTAATTTGCATTTCTAATTCTGATTTTATAACTAATATCTTGGTCACTATTTTTCATCTGGACCACCCAGCACGTGGGAAAAGATTTACTTTCCAGGAAATCAGAGTTGTTGAATGTTGGGATTATTTCAATTTCAATTGATTAATTCTTTATTAATTTTAGTATTTAATTATAATCACGTTTAATTATTACATGTAAATAAATCAAATTTTTTACAGTACCTCTTGAAATGTTGGATCCATAAGTGATGTGTTACCTTTCTGAACCTAAAATTCAGATTGAGGCAAATTCAAATTAAATCAAATTAAAAGTCTCTTCCCAGTCCACGCCTCCCTCGTGCCCTTTCACTTTGATTTACTACTAATAACAATAACAGTAACAATAACAATAACAATAACAACAACAATAACAATAACAATAACAATAATAATTATAATAATGACAATTAATGACCAATTATTATAACATCGATTTATTACATTAAATNCTAATACAATTACATCTATTATAGGAAACAATAAGGAGCATATATCTAAAACGTAAAATTTTAAGTTCTAATTTACTTATAACTAACAACCAAAGGTTTTTCAGCTTTTAGAGTAAGTTTCCTAGAGACACTGACTCCTAAGTTGTTTTAGTGGAGACATTAATTAAAGATATTTTGACAACTTTATTCTGAATATAGACATCTTTAGCTTGGGTGTTTGTCACCCCATTTCAGACCACGTAATGATACTCTAGAGAATTCTTGCTTTCAAATTTTCAAATAGTTGTGTGTATAAAAAGAAGAATTCTCTAGAGAATATCAAATGGTCTGAAATGGGAAAACAAACCACCCAAGCTAATTAAAAGACATCTATTGGACCAACCTTTTCACTAAATTCATGTTGTCTCTGTGACTCTCTTGGTCCATATCTAAAATTTAGTTAAGAACTAGTAGACACTGCTGAGAGGATCTTGGGTCAAGTATTGAGTCAGTTTTAAAATGTAGGAAAACAGAGAAAATAATTTAATGAAAACCTGATTTGTATTTATATTTAGCTGCAGTTAACTAAAAAACAAAACTTAAAAAAATGACCAAATTTTAACATGAACATGGGATGTATAATGAGAAATCAGGATAGTTCTGGTACACTTTGGTAATGCAGCAGCAGTTGTAAATAAGCAGAGCACAGTCTGGTTACCATCCATAGTTCATTACAAGGATACACAGCACAGGTGACCTTGGTCTTTTGCATCTCAATATACGCTGAGCCCCTTGCCTGACTCACTACTCCCGATCGCAGAACTGATAATATAATTTACATAAAGAATAAATTTAATACTGACATGCCAGTAAAACCACCTTAAACTTTGCACAAACTAACTAAAATTCATTCAAATAATGATTTACAAATATTTCTTTGCAGCTATATTAGAATATAGTGTGCATAAAACTTGAATTGTCGTTCGAAACTTGCAACTGTTTACATGTAGACATCTGTAGTCTCATTGGAGAATCTTGTGGTGTTAAAATGACATAATAGTCAATTTACCACCTTTACCCTTCTCAGGAATCAAACCATCCAGTGACTTTTCTAAATATTCCTCCGACGAAGCGTTAAAGAAACACGAAAATGTCGCTTTTATGAGGGAGAGCTCATACCACCGCACACTTTAATATGGCTGACGGTTCAGGAGACCAGGTTGATGCTCTTCGTGTTTAATACCTTTTTGAACCATGCACCGATCTTTTACACTATGCTCTACTACTGTACCACCTTTACATGTGGTAGGTTTATGCTTTTGTTAATTAAATCACTTACATATCGGTCGAAGTTCGTCCACTTTTCGGCCATCTTTTCGCAATCCTTCGTTGCTTGTCTGGAAGGAAACAACTTGAAATTATGAACTATGACAGCTTAGAATGTAAATATATGACAATTAAATAGTTACCAGAGGATTCTCAAAGCATTTCTCGATTCCAGAAACAACTGGTTGCGTTTCTTCAGGACCAGCGATCCTTCTGCTATCAACAGGCATCGTGTTTCGACTCAAGTGTCAATTACTGCCAGGCGTTCCAACCTTGACGTGGGAAACTGGGTAATGAGTCAAATGGACTAGTATTCCCACTAGGGAGGGGAGGAATGCGGAAAATTCGTCATTTCGGTTCAATCTTTTGACGCAGCCAAAATATAGCGTTGATTTTCGTGAGAAACATGGTATCAATTAAAGGAAAAGAAAGTTGGCCATCGAATGGGATTCTGAGGTAAAGATTTTATGGGTTGACTTCAGATTGCTTCATATAGGTTGCGTGGTCGAAAGTTTGTTCCGGGCTGATGAAATTGTTCAATATGCTTTAAGTATTGTGTTTATATGATGGAAAGGACAAAGCGCTACGCGATTTACAGTGTTCAATACTTTTGTGGAATGGAATCCGATGGTCAAATCAGTTAACTTTACAAAATTATGCATCAATCAAATAGAGATACCCCCAGGCATTTGCATTTTTTTTGTCCCTGGGGGTGGAAATATTACGTCAGTGGTTATTTGAGGGTGGGGCATTTGACATCATATGAGAGGGGTAGCGGTAATTTGCCTCAAAGTTATGGTTAAGTTAGCAGTCGTCAAGAGACAGCACCATTCTTTCCAGTGCTGTGGCTTGCAAAGAAAAGCTTTCCCAAGCTTTGGGCTGTGTTGAAAGATACATGATTTTTGTAAAAACTAAATACCTTGGGACACAGAGATGTTTACAGTGTGTGTTCATGTTTTTTTTTCTTTCAAACACTCATTCTTTATCTTACCATGTATGTCCCAGGGGTAGGGGCATTTGATTGCTTAGCAGGAACCAAAAGGTGGGGTATTTGAACAGCATTTTTTGGCTTGGGGGATGGTAATTGCACCAACAGAAAATTCAAACTTTAGAATGGCCGAGCGGAGGAGCTGGTTTCGTAGATTGTAATTTCATGATGTGTGTCATTAGCTTGGCAGCCTGGGATGAGCCTGTAGTTGGATGCTTGTCTATTTTTTTTTTTTTCTTTCTTCCTTTTTCTTTTTTTCTTTCTTGCTCAGGTGCTCATTCCATACCTCCAGCAGCC